TGACGGCGTCGCGGATCACGTTCTCCAGGAAGACCTTGAGCACCCCGCGCGTCTCCTCGTAGATGAGCCCGGAGATGCGCTTGACGCCGCCGCGCCGCGCCAGGCGCCGGATGGCGGGCTTGGTGATGCCCTGGATGTTGTCGCGCAGCACCTTGCGGTGGCGCTTGGCGCCGCCCTTGCCCAGGCCCTTCCCGCCTTTGCCGCGACCGGACATGGCTGCAGTTGGAAAGAACACAATCCCAGCACCCTCGCGGGCTGTGCTTATATACCTCTGCTGCGGACCTGTTTGAGAGCATGCTCCACCCCGCCACGCCCCGCGCTCTTTTTCCGGAAAATGAAAAGGGCGGCGCTTCATCAAACCTCCTGGTTTAGAAAAAACCACAGCTGACATCATATGCAAGGATAGAAAGCTGAAAGCTTTTTCTTTAATACCAGTAACAAGACAAGGATGTCCATTTCACCCTTTTTTATTCAACATAGTATATCAAACACGAAATAAAAGGCATCCACATTGGAAAGTAAGAAGTAAAATTCATTATTCGCACATGACATAATACTATATAGAGACCCCTAATGATTCCACCACAAATACTTTTAGAACTAATAAATGAATTCAGTAACGCGTCAGAACTCAGTTAGAATTCAGAAATAAGTTGCATTTTTATATACCAATAACACTATCAGAAAGAAATTAAAACCACAATGAGGTCACCTGACACCCGCCAGAGTGGATATCATCAATAAATCACCAAAGAGCAAATGTGGGGGAAAGGGAACCCTTGTGCACTCTTAGTGGGATTGCAAATTGGTGCAGCCACTATGGAAAAAGGTATGGAGGTTCCTCAAAAAATTTAAAATAGAACCAGCATATGACCCAGCAATCCCACTTCTGAGTATTTATACAAAGAAATGCAAACCAATAATTCAAAAAGATATATGCATCCTTTTATGTTCGTCGCAGCACTGTTTACAATTGCCAAATTATTGAACCAACAGAAAAGTCCATCAGTAGACGAGTGGATAAAGATGTGATGTATATATTATCGCTGATCCAATACAAGCTTGTCTTTTGCGACAGATAGATGGACCTAGAGGAAATTATGTTAAGTGAAATAAGTCAGATAGAGAAAGACAAATTCTTCAAAGATAAATGTTTTAAAACCTCATTAAACACTCCTTGCCCTGGCCAGTGTGGCTCGGTGGATTGAGCGTTGGCCTGTGAACTGAAAGGTCTCAGGTTCAATTCCGGTCAAGGGCACACACTCGGGTTGTGGCCTCGATCCCCAGTGAGGGGTTTGCAGGAGGCAGCCGATCAATGATTCTCTCTCATCATGGATGTTTCTCCCTCTCCCTCTTCCTTCCTCTCTGAAATCAATAAAAATATTTTTAAAAAAACAAAACTCCTCAGTCCAACTGCTCTTCTAACAGCTCTGTGCTTGCCCCCTCCCGACGACCATGCCTTTGTCTGGGTCCGGCTTTGCTGTTGTTTTGGGGTGGGTTTGTTTGCCTGTTGTCTTTATTTCCTGTCACCTCAGCATCCACGGCCCTCATGACTATGACTGCTGGGTCTGAGCGACCCTTCTCAAGAGCAGTGCGTGCAGTTTGCTGAGGGACCTTGGGCCGCGGAAGGAGGCTGTGGTGGTGCCGTCACCATGTTGCTGTCGGCTGTCTCCTTTGCCAAGAGCAAATCAAAGAACATTCTGGTGACAAGGGCACACACTCGGGTTGTGGCCTCGATCCCCAGTGAGGGGTTTGCAGGAGGCAGCCGATCAATGATTCTCTCTCATCATGGATGTTTCTCCCTCTCCCTCTTCCTTCCTCTCTGAAATCAATAAAAATATTTTTAAAAAAACAAAACTCCTCAGTCCAACTGCTCTTCTAACAGCTCTGTGCTTGCCCCCTCCCGACGACCATGCCTTTGTCTGGGTCCGGCTTTGCTGTTGTTTTGGGGTGGGTTTGTTTGCCTGTTGTCTTTATTTCCTGTCACCTCAGCATCCACGGCCCTCATGACTATGACTGCTGGGTCTGAGCGACCCTTCTCAAGAGCGGTGCGTGCAGTCCTCTGGGCCACTTGGGAAGCCTTGTGTGCAAAGTGCTTTCCGTGTCATCTTAACTGAGCCAGTGGCTGCGACAGTAATGGCCCTGATCACAGGGAGCTTCCCGGGGCTCCTCACTTCTCACCTTCGCTTCTCTATCCTTTGCCTCACCTGCTACACGTCCTGTCCAGCGCTGCCATCAGGTGGGGGTGGGGTGGGAGTGGGGGTGACTTCATCCTGGTTAGAAACACTCATTTTCTAACGTTGTTTGAGGAAGGTCTGCTTTTTTTCTTGAGAGAGTCGATTAGCAGGCCCTGAGGGGTCTAGAAACACATTCCCCGAGGATGAGGGAGGACTCCTGTTTGTTGTTTCTGGAAACACGGAGGAAATTTACCAGTGCTCCTCTATCTGGTGAAGGTAACACACTCTGAAAGATCTGTAACTTAACTGCAGTAACAGTGCTTTGCTCTGGAAATGATATTCACATTCACATCTATGTTTCTCAAAGGTGTACTTCTCTCTGTTAAATTAGAGACTTGTTAATTCTCTTCTTCCACCTTTGTGGAAGAGACACAGAGACAGGCTCTGCAGATTTCTTACCCTAAAAAAAGTTTAAGAATTTCATTTTACTTAAATAAAGTGTGATTCAGATGCTTTCTTTTTGTCTTTCTCAGTAAATAATAATGCTGATTGACATGAGTTACCCAAAAAATTATTGTTGAATAACTCTGATAAATAACTTTTTTTTCCTCACACAATAAGAAACATTCTTTTCCAAGAGAAATTTGGCAGACTTTTAATTTCCCCTTTAATCAGATGAAAACATGAGCTATACTGTCCTTTGCAATGTTGAGGGTTGCGTATTGACCCACACTGGTCTGACTGACAATTTTGTAATGTTTAGTCCAAGTGGAGTCGATCCTTTTCAATAAGGTTATATTTCAACGTCTTAGGCCACATGTTTATTTCCTTGGCACCTGATTTTGTTTTGTTTGTTTGGGTTGAGGCTTTAGAATTGGCTGATAGGTTGTGCTGTGTCTCTTTTACTTTTCTCTTGCTCTGCATTTAACATTATTTGATTTACTAGTGATGAGTTCCTATTTTAATCCTCAGTTATTCTATCCTGAAAACACATACTCATTCATACGTAAGCACACACACATAAGCCCTTTGGAGTGGTTTCTACTCCATGAACTTATGCCCTCAGATCTCCCTCCCGTTCTACAGTGCCCAGGTAAGAATCCTAACAATGAGGCATGATCGCATGGAGCGTCCCTTCTTCTTGCTCACACCTGAGAGCCATCACCATCTCTGTTCTCATCCTTACACTTCCTTAAGCTTCTGCTGCCTCCATTGCTAAAATATCAATTAGACAAACTTGGAGACCCAAATTCCACTGTCCCCCAAACTCAGGCCTCGTTCTCCCCGCATCTTACCACACCCTTTCCTGAGGCTCACTGTACCATGTTCTTGTCTGCTTATGGCTTTAAAACTGACTTCCAGAGGTACCCCCTCCTTTCTCCTGAAACTCTCTCAGGACCCAGAAGTATCCTCCGATTTATAAAGCTTTTCATGCCTCGTTTTACATAAAACCCTACCATGTTTCTGCAATTTCGTACATATGACCACTGATGGTCTTCATGTTCCCTCTTAAGCTTCTGTTAAAATTCGCTGATTTTCATGATTGAAATATACCAAATACCTTGCAGAAGCTCTGATTTTCTTTCCTGTACCTCCCCTTACTAATATCTTCAGGGTTGGATGTTGACAGGACAAGAATGAGGGTGAAGGGGAGAGTCCTGGTGTAGGGCTCTCCTGCTGTGTCACCTCCCTGGCTCTAGAATAGGGACAGGGGTGGCGAACATAGTGCCTACACTTCTGTCCTTTGAAATCAGACTCTCTGCTATAGACAAAGTTGGTGTCTCATCAAAATTCCTAGGTTGAAACCTAATCTCTAATGTGCTGATGTTTGCAGGTGGGGCCTTGGGGAGTTGCTTAGGTCATAAACTCAGAGCCCTCTTGACTGGGTTCGAGCCCCTGTCAGAGGACCCCGCCACCCATCACTCTTCCATCTCAGGGGACATGGGGAGAAGACGGCTGCGCCTGGACCAGGAAGCAGCTCTCACCAGACAGTAAGTCCAACGGGGCCTTGTTCTTGGACTTGTCAACGCCCAGAACTGTGAGGATTAAATTTCTGCTGTTTAAGCCACAGGGTCTGTGGATTCTGCCATAGCAGCCTGAACGGACTCAGCCACTGGTGTTTTGCAAACCGTGTGTAAAAAGTACTCAGATTTAGTACCTTTGGCTTTGGTGTTTATTACAGGTAATTTGGAAGTAAATGGTTGGAGATCATAGCACAGGTGTCCAGGTATGAACTGAATAACGGTTCAGGTCTTGTCTGTGCCATTTACTTCATTCTTTTCTTCTTCCCTTTCTTTTTCTCCTTTCTTTCTTCCTTTCTTTCTTCCTTTCTTCTCTCCTTTTCCTTTTAAACTACATTTATTAAAGCTGGGGACAGTGAAACAAAGGAAAGGTTTGTAGAAGCAGCAGGGAAGAGACAAGGTGGTAGTCTGCTTTGGTTCCATAAAAACCTTATAAGAAAGAAGTGAGCCAAGGTGGGAATGCTTTTAACTTACTGGAAAGTAAGAAGAAGAAAAGATCTCTGTTCTCTATCTCCCTGACCAGAGGAATTTAAGCTTTTTATTCTCTGCTTAGGGAGGAGAGATAGAAACCATTTGTTCTCAAGTGTCTTCAGTTAGGGAACATAAGTCTTTCAATCCTCTAGTTTTAAGTTGTTTAAATTGCTTGGCCTTGATTATCTCATCTATTTCCCCATTCCACTTGCCCAGGAATTTTCCCACCTTTTTTTTAAAAAAAATAAATCTTTAATGTTGACAGTATTGATATGTCTCCTTCCCCCCACCACCCTGTTTACTTGTTTCTTGACCTTAGAAACAAGTATTTTATTTATTTATTCATTGCCTTAAATTATCTATACCTTTTTGCTATCACAAACAACATTCTGATGAATATTCTTATGATTCTGTAGGAGAATTTCCTTGGGGCACAGGCCTGGGTACACCCAGTTTTACTAAATTAGATGGTTCTTTAAATGTCTGTGTAGACCACCATCAGTAAACCACCACATAAAAGTAAGTTTCTGCACCTCACCTGCTTGGCAAACCTAACTTCTGATTTTGATAATCTGCTGGGTGTTATGCATTGTTGTTTTAATTTGCATTATCTGATTACAAGTGACCTTTAAAAATTATTCGTATAATGGCTAGCCACTCAGCTGTGTCCATTTTTAAAATAAGATTTTTTTCCTTCAAAGTGAATAATAAACTACTACACTCAAAGTTTCTAACACAGAACTGTCATTCCTACAAACCCTCTTTTAGGCCACTTAGGCAAGTGAAAACCAGAATAACCCTAATTCAACTTTGTTTTCCTACAGCCATTGGAGGCTGAATCCCATCTTCTCCTTTTCTTCCCAGATTTGTTGAAAGGAACCTGCATGGCCTTATCCTCCAATAGTTGAGGGCCTTTGGAAGAGAAACTTCTAGAGCTAGAGAGGGAGCACAGATCGCCTGTCCAGACCGTGAAGAGGTATTTCCAGGTTCGACTACCAGACGTAATGAGCATATTTGTGACTATCAGAAGTGGGTAAGGGAGGTGCCAAAATCTATGCGCTGAAGCCCTTGTTACGGGATGGGCTGAATTCCTTCCCTGTGGACAGGTTCCTTCACTTTACCTCTTTCCTCGGCGGATAACAAGGGTTCAAGCGGTGACTTTATCTTTGCGGATACATAGTTGGCTTTGACAAAGGCAACAGTTGGTTAAGCAACTTGTTTCCCTAAATAGCTACTATCATGTAAACACTGAACGTGAGGCCTTACCAATCTTGTCACCCAATTGGCTGAGGAAAATGATACCCATAGTTCTGGAGAGGACGCCATTTCCATAAATTGTGCGCTGGGCTTGCGTTTTTAACGCGTAAACTAGGAGTGCAACAGCCACTGTCAGTGAGGACGGTAGTGGCTCTGAAAAGAGCCTTTGGGTTTCGGTGCAAGTGGGTAGGACGGAGCTCACGCCCTCTCGCCGCGGATGCGGCGCGCCAGCTGGATGTCCTTGGGCATGATGGTGACGCGCTTGGCGTGGATGGCGCACAGGTTGGTGTCCTCGAACAGCCCCACCAGGTAGGCCTCGCACGCCTCCTGCAGCGCCATGACGGCCGAGCTCTGGAAGCGCAGGTCGGTCTTGAAGTCCTGCGCGATCTCGCGCACCAGGCGCTGGAAGGGCAGCTTGCGGATCAGCAGCTCCGTGGACTTCTGGTAGCGGCGGATCTCGCGCAGGGCCACGGTGCCGGTTGCGGGCGGCCTTGGTGGCCAGCTGTTTGCGGGGCGCCTTCCCGCCCGTGGACTTGCGCGCCGTCTGCTTGGTCCGAGCCATTTCCAACACAAAGAAGCAGAGAACTGCTGTAGGAATGGCAGCGCGGGCTCGCAACCAGTATATATAAGGCAAGTGCCACTGTGATTGGAGGAGGCACCTGCCCATCAAGCCCCGCAGTGACGTGATTGGAAGCCGCGTCGGCTTTTTGATCGGGGCCTCCGGGCGTTTGGATCAGAAATTAACTTCCTCCTCCCACCCACCCTTTCAGCAGAGGCTGTTTTCTACCCTTTCTCGTCGCTCGGTCTGTGCGCATTTCCTTTACAATGTTCTCTGTCTTTGCTCCGCAGAATTTCATGTAAATATCTTGTTCGCGGAATAAAAATTTTAAATTTTGACGCCGGAAACTGGCTTCCCTTTGATCTTTTTGAAAAAAGCGCGCGCTACACGGGATTGGCCAAGTGATTTTTCAGTCTCATGCAGGTTTAGTAAAGAGGATTTCCCGTCAGTTTCTTCATTTCTCTATTTAAACTTTCTCTATTTAAACTTTTAAAATGTTTCGCAGGCTTTTTCTAAATGTCTGTTGAACTCAATTTCACATTTGATATTATAGCTCGATTGACATTTGCCTTTCCCTACCACGTTCATAGGCAGCATTCCACTACGTTTAACCATTTGAAGTGAGACTTGTGTAAAAGGGGGTTAAGAAAAAACATCCTCAAACGAGTAAGTGAACAGAAAGATGACGGAGCCAGTCACGCTGGGCCCCGCGCAGAGAAGCTCCGCGGAAGGGACGCGACCCCGGGGCGGGCAGCGTTGCTTTCCTATTAACAACCCACTAGGTCCCGCTAGGCTAGGAGGTGGGCGTTGGCGAAGATGTGTCCCATTAAGATGCAAAACCACACCAACAAGAGACAGAGGAGTGGTTCCATCGCCCTGCGGGCCACTAACTATTTGCATTTAAGTAGTCCCCTCCCACCAGCGTGTTCCGGTCGTGTTTTGTCCTGGTTTAAGCCCGAGGGCATGCAGCTTCCATGCGTTAATTACCGGGTGCAGAGTCTCTCTATCCCTTAGTAGCCACACTGTTGCTAGCTTTGTGTTCACTGGCGTTCCTTTCCCGTCTACAGGGTGTTTACAGTGACGTCTCCTGGGGGATGGAAAGGATCATCCTCAAGTGGCTGCTCCAACATGGCAGCTGCAAGCTCTTTAGTGAACGCGTGGGTGGCTCTGAAAAGAGCCTTTGGTTTGGATGTTGCGATTTGCTCCTCACTTGCCCTTGGCCTTGTGGTGGCTCTCGGTCTTCTTGGGCAGCAGCACGGCCTGGATGTTGGGCAGCACGCCGCCCTGCGCGATGGTCACCTTGCCCAGCAGCTTGTTGAGCTCCTCGTCGTTGCGGATGGCCAGCTGCAGGTGGCGCGGGATGATGCGCGTCTTCTTGTTGTCGCGGGCCGCGTTGCCCGCCAGCTCCAGGATCTCGGCCGTCAGGTACTCCAGCACGGCCGCCAGGTACACGGGCGCGCCCGCCCCGACGCGCTCGGCGTAGTTGCCCTTGCGGAGCAGCCGGTGCACGCGGCCCACGGGGAACTGCAGCCCGGCCCGCGAGGACCGCGTCTTGGCCTTGGCGCGCGCCTTGCCGCCCTGCTTGCCGCGTCCGGACATGATGAACAGGAAACCTCCGCTCAGACCTTGATCTGAGCTGAGTCGCCCGCAGCTGCCCTCTTTATAGTCGCGCCGGGGCGCGAACGTGAGTCTGTGCCATTGGCGGCAAGTTACAGCCCTTTCCCTTCAACCAATGGGATCCTGGTTCTGAAACACACTCGTTGTCAGTGGACAACATCGCGGTGACGTTTCCGGGACTCACCACCAGTCGGACACGCCTCTACTCACCGCCGCCTGGAAGGAGCCTGAACCGGAGGACACTCGCAGCCTCGCAGTCGCTCCTCCATTTGTTTCCCGGCTTCTTCGGCGGTTCCTCCCGACCATGCCCGAGCCCGCCAAGGCGGCGCCCGCCCCGAAGAAGGGCTCCAAGAAGGCGGTGACCAAGGCGCAGAAGAAGGACGGCAAGAAGCGCAAGCGCAGCCGCAAGGAGAGCTACTCGGTGTACGTGTACAAGGTGCTCAAGCAGGTGCACCCCGACACCGGCATCTCGTCCAAGGCCATGGGCATCATGAACTCGTTCGTCAACGACATCTTCGAGCGCATCGCGGGCGAGGCGTCGCGCCTGGCGCATTACAACAAGCGCTCGACCATCACGTCCCGCGAGATCCAGACGGCCGTGCGCCTGCTGCTGCCAGGCGAGCTGGCCAAGCACGCCGTGTCCGAGGGCACCAAGGCCGTCACCAAGTACACCAGCTCCAAGTAGACGCGCGGGCGAGCGGCCTGACTCCTGACCCCAAAGGCTCTTTTCAGAGCCACTCACCTGCCAAGAAAAACCTACTGTGCTTTGCCTGTCATTTTTGGGGAGGGGGAGGGGAAGGATTATCTTGGGAGGACATCTTAAAAAGTAATGAGCAGGCTTGAGAAAAACTAGAGTTGAGCATTCGTTCCCCCCCCCCCCAGACTCTGTTGTGCAGGATCCCCATGCTGTCCCTTCCCACAGCAATGGTTTTGTGTGTAGCCAGACCAAGTGGTTATTGCCCTTCTGGGGACAGATGACCAGGTGCCAGGTATGTTAGGTGCATAGAGATTGCTTCCCAATTCCACCAGCACAGAAACTGGGACCAGCAACATTTGCTGCACTTAAAACTGGAGGAAAAGTGCCATCACAACTCATCCCAAGGGAAAGGAGTTTAGTCACAGTTAAGCCTCACAGATGGGGAGAAGCTTTGTGACAATGAAGTACCCGCGGGATCGGCAGCCAGCGAGGGCAGGTTTGTGGGGATCATGGAGAAGAGGAACCTGCATAATCCAGGAGCCAAACCAAAGGCTGCGTGGGGCTTCTTTACGCACAGCTCTCCCCTCTTCACTCTTCTCTGCCATGAGACACACCCAGGATCTTGGGCTGTAGAAAACGAGCAGGACGAAGGGAAGCCGTCAGTTCTTTCCAGAATCAATGACAGTGTTGGAGTAAGTGTGGGCGGCTGAGGAATCCCCAGTTATGCGTGGAAAGTTCTCTTCACTGAGTTCACGCTTCCTGCTTGGTTTTAGGCTCCATTCTGCCTCTTCGGATGAAATGGTATCCCTATGGCTTAGTTGAGATTTTAAAATGCCCACAGCTCCAAAATACTTGGATTTGAGAAGGCAGAAGCCTCCCCTTCACCCCCGCTTCCCGCCCCCACCTACACTGATGATTCCAGTGAGGATAATCTCTAATTATCCAGGAGCGAAGCAGGGCCCAGGGACTACTGTGGGTGACCACCCTATACAGTGCTACCTGAGCTGGCTCCCTGGGCACGCGACTCGGGCAGTTGCATGGGGTCCTCCTGTTCTCAGAGGAGCCTCGTATTTGTTTAATGCTCTGCTGTCATTACCTTAAAATCATCAATAATTTTTTAACAAGAGACTCCACACTTTTGTTTTGCATGGAACATCACCAACTATGTAACCGGTCCTCACATTGCCTTCTACATTCTATTGTCAGAAAAAGGAAAAACATCTTCCCCATACTCTTCATTCTGTCCCTTCTTCGAGGTATGTTAAGCGCAGAGAGATTGCTTCTCAATTCCACTGCCATGGTTTCTATTGTAAAACTAAAGTACAGGAAGAAATGAAGAAATAATTTTTAAAAAAGGTCACTGGACCATAGCAAGACGTCATGGATAAGTATGATAAGAGCTGTTCATGCCTAGAAACCAAACAGGATGCAGTGCTGATGTAACTTCTACATAAAGGAGACTATTAGCCTAAAAAGAAGGGAAGAAAGAGAGAAAGAAAGAAAGAAAGAAAGAAAGAAAGAAAGAAAGAAAGAAAGAAAGAAAGAAAGAAAGAAGAAAGAAAGAGAAAGAAAGAAAGAAAGAAAGAAAGAAAGAAAGAAAGAAAGAAAGAAAGAAAGAAAGAAGAAAGAAGACAAGCTTTATTGACTTCCTGGGAGGCTAACTCACCCTCCTCAACCTCACAGAATCCAATGATCACTCACCAGATGGTGGAAATAGGGCAGAATCGAACCTGGGACCCTTCAGTCACAGCTCTATCCACTGAGCCAAACTGGCTAGGGCTGCACCCCTATGTTTATTTCAATGTTATTTACAGTAGCCAAGCTATAGAAGCAATCAAGTCCCCATCAATAGACGAGTGGATAAAAAAGTTGTGGTACAGCCCTAACTGGTTTGGCTCAGTGAATAGAGCATGGGCCTGTGGACTGAAAGGTCCCAGGTTCAATTCTGGTCAAGGGCATGTACCTTGGTTGCTGGCACATTTCCAGTGGGAGGTGTGCAGGAGGCAGCTGATCAATGTTTCTCTCTCATTGATGTTTCTAACTCTCTATCCCTCTCCCGGCTCTCTGTAAAAAATCAATAAAATGTATTTTTTTAAAAAAGCTGTGGTACATACAATGGAATATTACTCAATCATAATAAAGAATGAACTCAACATTTGTGACAGCATGGATGGACCTAGAGGGTATTAGGCTACGTGAAATAGGCCAGACAGAGAAAGACAAAGACCATATGATTTTACTTTATATGCGGAATCTAAAGAACAATATAAACAAACAAAATAGAAACAGACTCGTAGATGCAGATAACAGACTGATGCTTGCCACAGGGGAGGGAGGGAGGGGGCTGGGTGAAAAAGTGAAGGGATTAAGAAGTGAAAATTGGTAATTACCAAATAGCCATGGGGATGTGAAGTACAACATATGGAATATAGTCAATAATATTGTAATAACTATGTATGGGGCCAGGCAGGTACTAGAAATATCAGGGGGGTCACTTTGTAAAGTATATGATTGTCTAACCACTATGCTGTACACCTGAAACTAATACAAAATAATATTTAATCTACACTGTAATTGAAAAAATATATTAAAAGTTAAACACTTGCCAAGACCAAGGATTGAACCAGAGACCTTTAGATCTCCAGTCTAACATCTCCCAACTGAGCTATTTCAGCTAAACCTAATGATGCTCTTCTTGTCAATAACTTTAAAAGTGCTTTTTTTTAAAATTTTCTTCATTACCCTTTTGGATGTCACATTTCAGAAAAAATTAAATTATTTGTTGCTTGTTTCCTGAAAATATAAAATTTGCCCAGGCATCTGTCTGTGGCAGCATGGTAAACATTTGATTTTGATGCTTGCTTTGAGTGTTCTTTAGTTTTGTTGTTAGCTTTTGTTTAACCTTGGTATTATGAGTAACTCTAAATCAGGGGTCCTCAAACTACGGCCCGCAGGCCACATGCAAATACAAATATTGTATTTGTTCCGTTTTGTTTTTTTACTTCAAAATAAGATATGTGCAGTGTGCATAGGAATTTGTTCATAGTTTTTTTTTTAAACTATAATCCGGCCCTCCAATGGTCTGAGGGACAGTGAACTGGCCCCCTGTTTAAAAAGTTTGAGGACCCCTGCTCTAAATCTACCCCTGAACCTCCTTCAAAAGCCCCCACCCCACTCCCATTAATGCTTTGGCACTGTGGTGACAATTCAGTTCATTATCTACAAAAACGATATAATTTAACCACTGGTACTATCTCTTTTAATCATGTCCTTAATTTAAAATTGTTCCACCTGGCCAGTGTGCTCAGTGGTTGAGCATTGACCTATGAATTAGGAGGTCACAGTTGGATTCCTGGTCAGGGCACATGCCCGGGTTTCGGGCTTTATACCTAGTAGGGGGCGTGCAGGAGGCAGCCAATCAATAATTTTCTCTCTCCCCCTTCTTCTCTGAAATCAATAAAAATACATTAAAGCCGCTCCACCTTAGAAACACTGTTTACTTTTTGAAATAAACTTTATTTTTAGAGTATTTTTAGATTTACATAAACAAGTGCAGAGTTCCCATACACTCCCTTTCCCCCACTTCAGAATCTCTCCTATTATTAACGTCTTGTATTCGTGTTCTGCTCCGCTCAGCACCATCAGGGGTGCACCTGAGGGGGATTGGGCGGTGAAGGATTAAAGAAGACAGACAAGAGAAGACAGCTGGGGCTCGGTGGGACGCTGCTCTCTGATGGTGCTTTTTTTTTATATTATAAAATTTATTTTATAGCCAGATTCCACGAGGCAAAGTAAGGGCGTGGTCAAGATGTTTACGTTCTCGTCGCTGGTTTCCAATCTACTCAATTACATGCACCTGAACTCTATCAACCTTTGTTTTGGCAGCACTTGCTGCACCTCCCGCAGCCCATATCACTCAGCCACCTGGGACCACAGGTTCAGACCATAAGGGCAAGCTTACAACTATAGCCTTTGGCTATAATTGTGCTGGGAGGGCTTTGCCCTCCAAGCTGGGACTAGCACCTGGCTTTGCCACAAGAGGACCGTGCCCTCTCATTAGTCCGAGGCCTGAACCTGTCCAAACACTGTAGCCGCTCTCCACATAGTGTGATACATTTTTTACAAGGATGAACCAATATTGGTGCATTATTACTACCGAAAGTCCACATTAGAGTGCATTGTGTCACACAGGTTTATGGATTTAGACAAATGCATAATGTCACGTATCCGCCATTACAGTGCATACAGTAGTATCACTGCCCTAAAATCCCCTGTGCTCCATCTATTCATCTATGCACCGCCCCCAACCCTGGCAACCAGTGACCTTTTTACTGTCTCTGCATTTTTCTTAATGTCAAATCGTTGTAGACTTTTCAGAGGGGCTTCTTTCACGTAGGAATATGTATAGAAGGTTCTTCCATGTTCTTTTATGGCTTGATAACTCATTTCTTTTTAGTGCTAAATAATCTTTTATTGTCTGGATGTACCACAGTTTACTTATTCATTCACCTATTGAAGGACATCTTGATTGGTTCCAAATTTTGACAATGATGAATAAAGCTTCTGTAAACATCCAGGTGCAGGCTTTTGAGTAGACGTAGTTTTCATTTCATTTGGGCAAATACCAAAGCATGAAATTATTGAAGTACATGGTGAGACTACATTTAGCTTTGTAAAAAACTGCAATATGTAAGGCCTGTATGTAAACTATTTTTTATATATTTTTTTATTTTTTAGCTTGTGGATGTCTAGTTGTCCCATATCAGTTGTTGAAAGAACTATTCTTTCTTTATTGAATTGCCTCCACTCCTCTATCAAAGGTCAGTTGACTAGTGAAACTTCTCCTACCTCTTAATTTCCCCTTGTCTAACACGCACTCGCCTCGTTCCCATTCTACTCCTTCAGTTTTCTTCAATAAACCCTTCCTAACGCTATTCTATTACTTTTTAATTTTATTAAAAAAATAACAACAGCCTTCATATTCATTAGAGCAGTGGTTCTCAACCTTGGCTGCACATTAGAA